ATATTCCCAGGCTTTAACAACTTAAATAGAAGAGCACCTGTGTAAACAGCATTCAGTAACTCTTCAGTCTCTGTATTTATTTTGACTACAATATATCCTTTCTTCTGCAACAAAATTTCTCTTCCAGTGGGTGGCAGCACTACACACTCCCCTAATTCTCCTATCCTTATAAGGGAAGAGGGGGAAAAAAACAAAAAAGAGAAAAAAAACCCTTTCTTTTAAATAGCCCAAAAATAAAAGAAATGGTCACAGTTCAAATGCATCAACTCAAGAGATATTATAAACCAAGATCCACAAGTTTCAAAAATTTCAAAAGTGTCCCAATTCTGCTTTCCTGCTTTCAATCCAGTCCAGTTATCCAAAACGGAAATAAGACAATTAAGTAATTTCAAGTCTTTTAAAATATGTACTTGGGAAAAATAAAATCAATCCAAAATAGGTTTGCCGCTCCTCTTCATTTACTGCCCATCATAGTCCCATACATTAATAAGGGTGTTCTTAGTAGAAAAGAAAGTAAAAGTTTCTCACCGATCTAATTACTGTCGTTCCGATCTTCCTTCCTGAAGTTGCCACAGCCTCCGCAGCATAATGGCTGCTGCTCCGCTGCTGGAAAAAGGGCTTTCCTGGCTCAACCAGGGACTTAGCGATATCCCTGGGAGCCTCGGGACGTGCCCTCCACTGTCACAGTCAAAGCAAGACTGTGTGGTCCAGTTCAGACTGTCCAGCAGCAGAGTTTCTTGGTGGAGTTTCAAGAGCCCTAGAAATCCCGTGCGTCTCACCGCGGCGCCAACTTCCGGTCTCTTTTGCAGATGATTTGGTTTTTATCATGGAAGAACCCTTAACATCTACAAATAAATTGCTAAAAAAATTTGGAGAGTTCGGAGAAGTGGCTGGTCTAAAAATTAATAAAGAAAAGACAAAGATAATGACTAAAAATATGTTGAAAAAGCAAAGAGAAGAATTGATGGAGATTTCAAATATACAGGTTACGAATAAGGTAAAATATTTGGGGATACAATTGACAGCAAGGTGTAGTTCTCTTAAGGAAAATAATTATAATAAGGTTAAACGACAGATAGGACAAGATTTGGAAAAATGGGGAAACTTGCAACTATCTTTAATTGGGAGAATTGCAACTATTAAGATGAATATTTTGCCTAGAATGTTGTATTTGTTTCAGACAATTCTGATAAAGTTGGATAAGGATTTTTTTACAGATTTGAATAAAATGATATTGAAATACATTTGGCAAGGGAAAAAGGCAAGAATAAAAATTAAGTTGTTACAAGATGCTAAAGTGAGGGGTGGCTTTGCTTTACCTAACTGAATTATATTATCAAGCAGCTAGTTTAATGTGGATCAAAGAATGGGTTACACTGAAAAATATTAGACTTTTGATTTTGGAGGGACATGATTTGTTGATGGAGTGGCATGCCTTTTTATGGTACAAAGGAACTAAAATACAGGGGTATTTTAGAAGACATCAGATACGTGAAGTGTTGCTTTTGAATTGGGAGAGGATTAAAAAATATCATTATTTGAAGATTCTAATCTGGGTATCTACAATTGAAGCTTTTTCATATCCAGTGATATTCAAAAGGGAACAAATTGTTAGATATAGTGAATTATTGGATGAAAAAGGTGAACTTAAATTAAAGCAAGACTTAGAAGATCAGGGATTTAAAATGGATTGGTTTTCATATATGCAAATATTTTCTAGATATCGAGAAGATCTCAAACAAGAAGGTTTTTATAATGCTTTGACTACCTTATATAAGATATTGATGGGCTCTGATGACCATGTAATTAAAAAGTTATATGGACACTTGCTAGAGGCAAAATTGGAAGAAGAACAAGTTAAAGAGACAATGATAGCATGGGGGGAAAATTTTGGTTATAGTATTGATTTAGAGAAATGGCAAAAATTGTGGTCACATAATTATAAAATGACAATGTCTACAGCATATAAAGAGAATTTGTATAAGATGTTTTACAGGTGGCATTTACCCCTGACGAGGATAGCCAGAATGTTCAAGAACAAATCAGAGAAGTGCTGGAAGTGCCATCAGACCCCAGGATCCTATTACCATATGTGGTGGACATGCGTAGAAGCAAGGAGATTTTGGAATAAGATACACACATGGTTGGAAAAAATGACATATTAATCTTAAACCAGAGATATTTTTATTAGGGATCTTACCAGAGACATTTAACAAAGAACTACAATATTTGATTGTGAATATATTAACAGCGGCTAGAATTGTATTTGCAAAAAACTGGAAAGGAGAGAAGATGATTACTGATGAAGAAATTATTAGGAAAATGTTGGACTGTGCTGAAATGAGTAGACTGACATTTGAAATAAGAGAACAGGAAGATAAACAATATTATTTGATATGGGAACTATTTTATCAATGGATAGATAATAAAGCATGGGGATGAAATACTATATATGAAATGAAATTTGGATAAAATATTTAAGCACTTGTTTTTTTCTGATAGAGGTAAGAATATCTGTCATATAATGAGAGTTTGAAAATTTTGAGAGCACGAAATGATTTTCACCGATCGAAATACTGTCTGTAAGCGTTTGGAAAGTTGATGTTTTTATGTTGTTTTTGTTAAAAAAAAATTGAAAAAAAAATAAAATAAATGGAAATACAATCTACTGTTTGTATAAAATATTCAGCATTACTGTTGGCCATTGATCAGATCTTGTCCTATCAAATTGAGATCACCTGCTTCCATTGGCATTCTCTGATTTGAGTTAGCTTGTCTGAATATCTGTATAAAATGCTTTACTCAGGGTTTCTATCGTATCATTGTTTCACTTGGAATTTATCTGCCCGTACAAGGAATGTCAAGCCCTCCATTTGCCAGACTAGGTTTCTACATTCTGTCTGCTGGCAACCCATGGGGCTGGCCTGGGTCCTCCACCCCATCTACTAAACCCCAGCACTATGAACTCAAAGAAGCATGCCAATACAAAATGTGCATGGTATGATATTGCTCCCAAATAGAAGCATTCCCTGTTCCTATTGCCCCTATTGCATTCTCTGTTGCAATATTCCTGGCTTGGGAGGAGGAGGAGTTGTAGGCAAAAAAACAATATTCAAATAACTGCTGATTCCATGAAGTCTGAGACAGAAAGCCTGACATAGAAGATCTATATATAGCACTGTGATTAAGAAAAATAAATAAAGAGGGCTGCTTTATATTTGAATTCCTGAATCATATTTGCAAAAGATTCTGCTGGGGCCCAATTAAATATTTTGACAGCACTTTAAGTGATGTTTTATCAGAACAAATAGTATATCTGGTTCCATGAGTGAGGATAATGCTCATTTGCTGTTTAGGAATTGGTATTGGTTTGACTAGGTCTCCATGGGCTTTAGTAGAGCATCATTCTCTGTTAGAGGCATAGTGGAACCTAAAAATTCAGCAACAAATGGAAGAATTAGCCCAAATCAATGCTGAAACTGGATCTCTGTGCTCCTCACAATGAAGGAATTATGAAGCAATGAAGGAGAGTTGAGACACAAACCTGTTGTCTTTTGAGCAGCCTGAATCTCCGTCATGGCAATTGGGTTTTACTATCCTTCATGTCTGCTGGAAAGAGAAAGGAGCAGGCTTATGGCATGTGAAGAGTGCTACTCTGCATACACCATATCATGGTGTGAAGTGCATGCATGCTGATCCACTTGTTCAGTGTCCTAGCATCAGATCACTGTCTCCATGTGAAACCGCAGCCTGGCTCAGTAGAGGAGAAAAAGAAAAAGGTGAAAGGCTGAGCTACATTTTGGCTTCCTGCCTCCACTTGGTGGCACAGGGCAATTTAGTACAAGCATTTTTACTTTGCCTAGAAAACATCCAAAGGGAATGCTTTGATGTGGGCTTGGCAGAGACTTTTGAGAGCAGAACACCTATATTGTCTGGTGGCATAGAATAGAAAGGGCTTAGCATGCCATGTGATCGCATAGTGCAGCAGGAGTATTGAGTGGAACTGGTGTGAATACCTGTGGTTTTGTAGTACTCACAGTATGGATAGCTGCACCACCCACAGCCTCTTCATAGCTTGGAGTTATGGGAACTGATAGCAAGCAGGGGCTTGCCATTGTGCTCTCAAAGGAATCTATAGAAGTACTCCTAGATAAAGTATATGACTTTGATAATGATAATGAATCATTTGCAGGCATTACCTGGCGGTATTGTTAATCACCTTTCACAACTATTTTCCTCTCTCCCTCTCTCCCTTACCACCACCCAATGTCCAGATATTATATGTCTCTGAGAGCCTTAATGGTAGAAGCAGCATTAGTTTACTGATGGAGTTGAATATTAATTATCAGTAGAAAGATAGCCAGTGTGTGCACGCTCCAGTCAAAAGTTCTGGCAGTAGTGCAGTCTGATGTAAGACAAGAAATGGCCTCCAGCATCTCTCATTTAGTTCCAGAAGATATTGAAAGGAGGGTGAATAACAGGAATCCAACAAGCTCCAACCACAATTTGAGTATTGATCACTAGGGCAGCATATTAGGAGATTCCAAGACTTGCCTTGCCAAGCATGTATTAAGAATGCTACTAGGCTGCTTGGCCATCCATCCAAAAGTGGGGGAAATCCTTAAAAATGAACATATTGCCTTTTAACAGATCATTTGTGATAAGTTCAACTCCTCCCACAGAAGCCAAATCTTGCTTGCTCATCTGTAAACAAGATAGAGTGGTGCCAGATTAATTCTGCTCTCCTTTAAATTGTTTCAAAGAGGCCTTACATTATGTAAATACAATAAATGTCATAAAATTTAAAAAGAGCCTGCCTCTTTCTCTCTCTCTCTCTTTCTCTCTTCCCCCAACTACTTGAATGAAAGAAAAAAAAAAGAACACCGCCCCTTTCCTTTGTCCTGCCCCATTCTTCCTTCAGGTTCTCGGGAAAGACTTTTATACTTTTCTCTCTCTCTTTTTCTCTCTCACCCCCCCCCCCCACCACCAAAAGACTGAATTGGGAGACTTGGCGAACTAAACAAAGCAAGCCTGGCTGCCAGGAGCGGTCTAAGAAAAAAGCCACAGGCTGATTGTGAGAATGAGGGGACTGTGCACTGTGGCGTCTCCCCCTCTTCCAGAATCTCAATCCTTGATGTTTTCCAGGTAAGATGAATGGCCCCCATCATCAGCATTTCCAGCCCCCAGGGCAGCTGAAGAGATCCTCTTGCCAAAAAGCTCAGATGAGAGCCAGGCTGGGGGTGGAGGGCAGAAGCTTTCAATGATCCAGTACAGCTTTTTTTTGACAAGACTGAGACTTTTGCATAATTAGATCAAGATGCAATCCACTTAGAAACAATGATTTTACCATGAACGGATGATGGTAAATATCAGATTTTCCCATATATCACCCTGAAAGATTTCTTAGACTAAGCAACAAGTCCCAACCCATGCACATTAACATATGCCTTGAACATTTTATCAGCAACTGCAAAAAATCTGGAGTTATACAATGGCATAGAAAGATTCAGATCCTAGACTTATAAATAATCTAGCAAATCCATGGATATCTTATTGTTAAGGACTACTTTAAGATTGTATGTATTTGGAGTTATCTATACCTTTAATTATATATTTGTAGCAAGTCTGCTTTTGGTTTTGTAGTAAAAACTGGTTGTCTTGAATATCATGAAAAGGGACCCATGTCTAGTTTTCATGTCACTTACGTATAATGATTTTACCTAATACTAGTATTTTTTTTTTCAAAATTAGCACTGCAGACCTAAATGTTCTCACTGGAGAATAAATATCAGCCACATACCTTTTCAAATAAATTCCTCTGAAATTAATTTTATGTATTATATCATAATTCTTCATTGCTGTTTTAATGCTTATTTGCAAGTAAGTTCCAATGAATCCAACAATATTTACTCCCCAGGAAGTATGCACTGGGTTTCCACCAAGGTTTATAAATATTTTCCTCAAATGATTTCAGATGATGAACTCATAAACCATAATGCAGCATTTGCATCAGAAGCTGTTATTATTATTATTTTGACATGCCTGACATACATCTTTGTCAATGATCAAATGATTCATTTAATCAGTACTTTCATTGGAAAAACCAAATGATTTAGGTAGGTAATTGCCTTCAGAAGTTGTGGGTGCTCCATTACAGAGAGTGGACAACCATTTGTCTGAAATGGTATAGGGTCACCTGCTTGAGCAGGGAGCTGGACTAGAACACCTCCAAGGTCTCTTCCAACTCTGTTATTCAATGTTCTATATTCTAAAACTTTTCAAATAAAGAACCACTTTATTTTACTCCACAGGAACTGCCCACTTGCCTGTCTACCAATCAAAACAGATTCAGTGTGTGGGATGGCCCAACTTGCCATACTAAAAAGAGACCAAACCAGAATAAATCAGAAGCAGCTCGTACAGCAAGGAAAAAAAACCATGAAAAACCCAATATATGAAATAGCAGCCCTGTTACTGGAAAAGTTACTTCTTCTTGCCAACTTTAAAGTTCTTCAAACAGGTTCCAGTGGAGAGGAGGAGAAGAAGAAAAAACATGTATGTTGTTATGACTCTTCCTATTTCAAACCAGGAGATTTGCTAGAAGTGCCTCGCACTCTCTTCATTCATTTTGGCATTTATTTGGGAGATAACCAAGTAGCACATCTTATGCCAGACATTCTGCCTGCTTTCACTAATGACTGGAAGTTGATCCAGAAAGTAGTGACTAATAAAAGGCTTATCTTGGGGGTCATCACAAAAATGGCAAGGATCCGAGTGGACACAGTGGAAGACTTTGCTTATGGAAGCTCCATCCTGGTGAACAATATGGATTCGCTTTTTAAAAATTGTATCCTTTGTAATGATGAAGTGGTCCTTAGAGCAAAAAGGCTAGTAGGCACAACCGAATACAGCTTACTCTGGAACAATTGTGAACATTTTGTGACCTTCTGCAGATATGGCTCTCCAGTCAGCTTCCAAACAACGAAGGTAAACTGTCATTGTCCAAATATCCTCTGACAAGTGGGGGCTATATCCTTATTTTGAATTATGTGCTAGAAAGGGGAAGACCAAGTAGCTTATGTTTATAAACATTATAATATATATTTTAAAAGCATTTTTTCCTAGACATTTTTGTTTAAAACAGAGGTTTGTCTAGGATTTTGGAGTGGGTGGATGTGGGGGAACACCTTTAGTAACTGATATCTACCTAGACTGGCTTAAAAATGGATCATAAAAGCCTAGAACATTTTACATTACCTATTAGATTCAAGTCCCAGTTTGCTTATCCAAGAGACTAATATATGGATAGCCACAAATGTTCTATGAAGTGGGCAGAACTGAGTTGATGCTGCCAAGGAAGCACAAAGATACTGGTGCAACTTTAATCCTTCAATGTCCTTATCTGAATACAGACCCAGAAAGAAAGTTATTCTGTTCCTGGTATGTTAATTGCTGAAGTGTAATTCACTTCTGACTTCACAACTGGAAGAGCGAATAGTACAAAATTGTCGTTACTTTTATAAGAGATAACTATCTCTATTTACAGTTTAGCAATATATTATACCTCTTGCTGAATATTGGCAATTCATTATTTTAAACACTCTGGTCTCTTCACTTCTCTTAGATCAAAAATTTATTTATTTATTTGTTTATTATGAAATTTATTTGCTGCCCTTCTCATGCCAAAATTTATTGCAAGGGGCAAACCATTTCAGAAGAGATAGTTTCAAAATCTTAATAGTATGTAGGATTTGTTGCTTTAGAAGGCAAGAGGTTTGATCCTTGTTAAATGGAAAGGTGCTTCTAAAACAGCAAATCCTAGCTTTGAATTTACATTTGAATCTTAACCTAGCTCATGTTTTAACTAGCTTCCTTAATATTAACTCCTTAAGTCTGTGCAGTAATGAGGTAGGTTTTAGTAATGCAAAAGTTTAAAAGTCCACCTTTTCTACAAAAATAAATTTAAGGGTTTGTTCATTTATTTCCTATTGTGCCACAATTATTCCTCTATGACATCTCTAAACTTAATGTGCAAGTAAAATTCTACTAAGAATGCTTTATTAAAATATTAAGAGCAAAACTGAACTCTCCCAACACTGTACCTCAAAATGAAGGAAAGGTATGCTTGTGCAGGGATGTGGCAGGAAAACCTTTGAAAGGAAATATGTCCTATATTTAAGTCAGAAGCAAATAATTTCTTTTAATGGAGATAGTGTTTCCGTGAAGGTAATTAGAACACATATTCACATCTGTGAGGAATCACTTAAAATATTAAATTTGAGTAAAAGGCTATTAAAGACATTTAGATTTGCCATGTTTCTATGAATTTACAGGAAATAATATTTAGTATTCTTCATGCAAAAAATACATATTAAATACATACATACATACATACATACATACATACAGTTTCAGCAACTTTACAATAAATTGTTTAAGAAGGAGAAAACTCAGTTTCTCAGTCACTAGAGATGCTGCGGCTGGAAATGGATAACAGTACCTTTTAAAACTAGAAGGCGGGACTGAAGAGTTTTTCTTGTCTCAATGAAACACCTACTGTTCAGTCTTATGCTCTACCTTTTTAGAAGAAATAGTTGCTTTTATGTTGGTTACATTTCGAATTAAAAAGGAGGTGTGGGAAAGCACCACCCAGTGTTTTCGTACTGGTAAACTAGCAAAAGCCCATAGGTAAGTAGATGCCAGGAATATAATCCAATTAACTGGAAAGCTAGGCTAATTTGGGAAGTCAGAATCTCAGAACTAAGATGAGCAGAACTGGCAGTTGAAATGGCAACCCTCTAGGAAGGCAACATCTCTTCTGCCCTGCATTCAAAAGACCAAAAGTTTGGGTGATGAAACAAGAAATTATTATCTATTGTCCCTAAGGAGGAAGAAAATACAAGAGAAGTTCTCCTTCATCTTTTCATATTAAAAACTAAATCCATATCTTGTTTCGGAAAACAAGCAAGACAAGGAAACATATGCTGCTACTCAGTCTTGAGAGCCAAAATGCCCTTCCAATATTCAAACAGCAGAAGCAAGACGCAAGTTAAACATTAACATGAGGCCATGGCCTCCAAAATCCATGTGAACCAAAATTCTAGACACCTGAAAACATAACTGCTGGAAAGGAAGATAAAGGCCAGTGGAGACCATAGATTAGTTGGCAAAAATAAGCTAAAATTCACATGAAAGTTAAAAGAAAGGTTTCTACCATTCCATTTCCAAGGGGAAAAAATGTTTAGACTACAGTTCAGTTTTAGACTACAGTACAATCCTTTATCATTATTTATGTTGGCCAGAACTGATAGGAAAAGCTTACAGTGCATGCATTGTTTCAATGTATAAATTCTACAGGTTTATGCAGGACTTCAACCTGCACATTCAAATACTTGCATGGAAGTCATACTAAACAAATCATGAAACAAATATCAAAAATTTCCTCCCATGCAAGGAAAGGAACATGTTTAATTTTTTATTCTAAAGTATTCTCTATCTTTGCAGTTCTGTGAAACCGTGAAGATGATCATTCGAGACCAGAGAAGTGTACTTGTTTCGGCACTGCTGGGACTGATTTCTATACTTTATCTGGGTCTGGGACCTTCTACTACTCTTCCTACTATCATCATTCCATTTATGCTGTGGATGGCTGGTTAATGAATCCACATGCCCTACCATTTATTGGCTACTAGATGACCCATGGCCTATTGAGTCCTCTTTCCAGAGAAATTTCGCTAATTCCTAATAGCTAGTTGAAGAAATAGAATGACCAAGGATGGGATTAAAAGCAGTGGGAGCAAAAACAACTTCTGGCTTCCTTCTGGTTTCCTGATTGACTTTGCTTGTGGGAAGCCAGCAGGAAGTGTCTGAAATCACAATCACATGACCAGCACTGCAACAGCCACAAGATGATGAATACAACTGAAGATTTTTAAAATTCCAATTCCATGGGAGTAATGGATTTTCTGCACATTGTTCAAATTAGAAAATTTGAAGTAAGTTGCTTCGAAAACGGTTGCTCTATGATGCAACATTTTGGTCAATTGAAGATTACATATAGACAAGACAGGAGAGTTTTAGAAGTATCTAGATTGTAAATAGAATGTATCATGTATTTATGAAAGCTCAAACTAATAATATTATAAAATGAAGAAAATATGGAATGATTAACATGCAGCATATAGAATACAGTGAACAAGCAATAACTTGTAAATTAAGGTTTTGTGAAAAAAATTTCCAAGCAATTTCAAGGCTGACCATATTGGGTTTATTCCCAAAGAAAGATGTCTAATCTGCAGTTTTACACTCAGCAGTACATTTTAGAAAACTTAATGAGGGTGATCTCCCAAGTAAATTTGCATAATTTCAAAGTGAATAAGTACAATTATCAGTGACATTCTCTTGGATATGGGAATGTTTTAGTATTCAGATAGTACAAAGCAATGTACAGTTTTTCAACAACTGCTATTCTGCTTTGCATCTTTTTCTAATTTCCCTAAGTTTACATTCACTAACTGTATTTTTATTTAAATGGCATAACTGCATCCTGCTTGGACTTGAGATGAACAAAATATTTGCACCAGAATTGTCTTTGCTATTCCCTGCTAACAAAATCCAATATAAATCAGTCAAATGGACTTCTGTAATCTCAAGATAAGTGACAAGCAAACTAGTGAAAAAGACATGTGCAGCTATCTCCTTTTGGATTTTTTTCCCCCACACTATAGACAAATAATTCTGTTTAGAATACTACGGCACACTTCCTCTGATTTTGCAAGTTGCATATTTGTCATCATGGCAACAAGCATTAATTTATTCCAATTAACATTCATATAGTCAGGCTGCACATGTACTAATATATATCTCTTTCAGATTTACAATTTCCTTTGCTCCCTGTTTTGAGACATTTCTAACTGTATTGGGACATCAGAAATGTATTAATTTAATGATATTCTCTAAAACAGAGGTATTTTACATTTCAGTAAAGGTATGTTCCCCTTGCACATATGTGCTAGTTGTTCCCGACTCTAGGGGGTGGTGCTCATCTCTGTTTCAAAGCCAAAGAGCCAGCACTGTCCGAAGACGTCTCTGTGGTCATGTGGCCAGCATGACTAAATGCCAAAGGCACACAGAAGGCTATTACCTTCCCACCAAAGGTTGTCCCTATTTTTTCTACTTGCATTTTTTTATGTGCTTTCAAACTGCTAGGTTGGCAGAAGCTGGGACAAGTAACGGGAGCTCACAATTCAAACCACTGAACATTTCATTTCAGTAAAATGAGTTGATTTCCATGCTACATTCTACAATTTCTCCACATCCCATTATTAAATGTCTTTCTGGTACAGAGTCAAAGAAAAACAAACAAGCACATGATGTTTTAAATTTTAATATAAGATTATGTATATTTTTGCTTTCTTTTAATCTTACTTCATTCGGCTGCAGACATGCAGCATTTTTATATACTTCCTGTCATCTGTGAAGGTGCTAATAACTGCCTAAATAACTCTAATAAATCACCTGCTTTGCTGATGTTCAAAGAAATAGAATGGTAAGTAGTATGTGACATACATTTATACTCACTGCTCCTGTTGGAAACTGAACAAAGTTCCTGCTTTGTGATTGTGGTCTCAGATCCTACTTACGAATTACAATAACACCATAGGTTGCACTATGAGTTGCTTGGTATGGGTAAAGCTACTTAGAACTATCAAAAGTGAAATGTTTTTTGGTTGTATAATTAATGCATATCTCAGATAGACATCCATCCAAACAGCTAATGGTCCACAGATATTCTCAGATTCCTAATGACAACTAATGAAAAATACATTTGACAGCCTCAATGTTTGTTTCCAAAAGAGTAACTACTTTACAAATATAGTGCTTAAGCCATCTTCGTGAAATGTATGCATTAGAAGTTCAGAAGGTATATATGTTTATGAATTTTATAGTGTAATGTTTTCCCTAAAGCATAAGCTACATCATAACCATGTTGTATTTTGAACATGCACAAATATGTTAATATTTTTAAAAAGTGGTTCATGAGAATCCAGTGAGAAATTGTTGGTGTGCCTGCAACTCTGCTGCCTGTACATAAACCCAACCTATGTCTAAGGAGGACATTTTAAAGATACAATTCTCACAACTTCTGTTTGTATGTTGCTCTTTTTACATGGTTACATGGGGTGTGATCACATGACATCAGGACACTGCAACCATCATAAATGTGAATCAGTTTTCAAGCAACCAAATGTAAATCATGTAACCATGGGGATGCTACAACAGTCATAAGTATGAAAAATGGTCATAAGTCACTTTCAGTGATGTTGTAACTTCGAGCAGACCTTAAACGAACTGCTGTTAGTTGAGGACTTATTTGAAAAACCACACAGGACTGCAGGGATTTGTATAATGGATACAGTTTTAAGTCGATTGTTCAAATGGATACAGTTTTAGTCGATTGTTTAAGTTCACTAATTGCCCTCCTGGATATTATCCTCTTTCCCTCTTTACCCCAATTGCAAACCACCTATGGGAGAAATTACAGTTTGGACAAGCTGAAAATAGTAGCAATGGGCAGCCCAGCCATGTTGTGCTAACAGACAAGAGACTCCCTTTCCCTAGTGAAATTGCTCAAAAATTTATTTAGAAGAATTTGTGAAATGAACAGAAAATGTTGGCAAAGGTTGTGGGTATTAACAAACTCAATAGAAACAAGGGTGAAGTAGAAGGCTGCTGTTCTGGAATATAAAGGAAAGCCGGACCTTTGTTTTCCAGACTCTATAAGCCTGTCATCTTCCAAATAAGATAAATGACCTCCATCAATAATCCTGGCAGCCGTTGGTGAAACAGGAGATCTGCTTGGGTCCCAAAATATACAATCTTCCAATGTGGGAGAGAGAAAGAGAGCAAATGAAGAGACATTTGTATGGATCTGACAGAGGTGCTTTTTTGTAAAATAAATTGCTCATTTGCATAATGCAAATCATTGCAAACTTTAGTCACAGATGATGGAATTAAGAGTAGTCATTGGGATCAATTTGTCAGCCAAAATGAAATCAAAATAATCATAAAGGAAACCCAGATGGTTTTATAAGTATGATTTATCTTCCTTGTTCAACACACATTAGTAGTGTCAGAACATAGTGCTTAATATTATCACTCATGTTCTTGATTTATTAAAAAAATACATTCTGTATATTAGCTAAAATTTAAGTTAACTAATAATTAGTCAGCCATAACATGTAGTCCTCGACTAATGACCACAATTGTAAGTCATTAATTTTATGACAATTTTATATTGTCATTAAATGAATCACCATGATTGTTAAGTGAATCATTTGGTCATTAAGTGAATCTAGCTGCCTTAATGGATTTTTTTTGCTGGAAATTGGCAAAAAAGATTTAAATCGCAAACAAGTTGCCAAATGCCTGAATTGCAATCACTTTACCATGAAGTTGGTAAGACAGTTGTAAGCGTAAGTACAGATTCTAAATTACTGTTTCTGAATCATCATTAAACAAACAGTGATTAAATCAAAGACTGTGAACTTAAAAGGTAAAAGATACATATACTGAAATCAGGAAGCTTCTATTAGGGGCCAAGCTAGTTCCAAAAGCTCTTCAAAACTTCTTTGAAAATTTGACTTCATTTCCTATATACGGCGTTTCCTTAAAAATAAAACCGGTTCTTATATTAATTTTTGTTCCAAAAGATACATTAGGGCTCATTTTCAGATGATGTCTTATTTTTTTTCATGTGCACAGACATGTCAAACACAGGGCCCATGGGCTGGATGGGCCCGTATCTGGCCTATGAAGCCGTCCTAGAGATGGCAAGGGACCGGCCCCCGCTGCCCCAGCCGTGGCCCAGCCTGGCCTGGCACCCCTCCCAAGCGCACGCACAGGAGGCACGAGCGCACAGGGGCTGACAGTGTCTGGCAGCAGCCGCAGCCCACTGGCCCCTTGGCCAGCGCACTTTGGAGCTGTGCAGCTCGTGCAGTGCAGGTGAGTCTGAGTGCTGTGACCGCAGGGTCAGCCCTCCAAGCAGCTGGCGAAGGCAGAGGTGCAGAGGGGGAGGCACACGATCTGGCCCACCAGATGTGCCAAGCCTGCCCACTCACTCCTGCCATCTGTTTTTGCTTGCCCGCAGCCACAATCATCCAAAACCTTATGCTCCAAAGAGAACCTCTTCAAGAGTGTTTGAACCACTACCTCTTTCAAAGTGGTAGACATAACTCCCTTACATGAAGAGGCTTTAACACAGTGGTCCCAACCTTTGCAGCTTGGCAGCCTGGCTGGGGGGGGAGAGGGAAACTGGGCCATGTGAGTGATGGGCTGGTGCACACGTGTGTGAATGTGCCAACTTGCAAAGTTGAGCTGCGTGCACATGTGCACACGCATCAGTCTGCCACTCACTGCTTGTGTGGCCCAGTTCCAAATAGGTCATGGTCTGGTAGTGGGCTGCAGCGTGGGGGTTAAAGACCCCTGCTTAAACACTCCCTGTACTGCCACATGGCTATTAAGAGCCTCACTGCTCAAGAGCCCTATTTACTAGCCTAAGAGTCACAAATACATCATCTATTTCTTCAGGTTGCAAAAAGTGAAACAGTCCATACACACTAATTAAAATTTAGTAGAATTATTAAAATTTTAATACAATTTAATATAAAGTACAAGAATTTTGTCATCTAATTTGACATGAAGACAGCCATTTTTTTCTTCAAAATACAGTACAAATTTCTCTAGATAGTTGAATGAATAATAAGCTGAATCCGCAGTTAAATTAGTTCTGAGCAGCCCAGCAAGCAATAATTAGAAGCCATTTCACATATCTTTTTTTTTTCAGATGATATATTCTCTTTCTTCATGGCCTTGTTAGAAGAAGACCTTTTATCACCATTTTGCTGTTGCATCAGACAGCCCAGGAAAAGGAAACCGGGAGCAAACCTATCTTAGTGTCAATTCACAATTACTATGTAGTTCTTTGATAACAAACTGATAATAGGCAAGACCCACATACAGAAGGGAATCCTTCTTAATTAACTGCTCAAGCAGAAGCAAATTAGGGAATTGACCTTGCTATGCCAGTTCCCCCCCCCCCCAAAAAAACCCTCCCATAAACCTCTAACACATCCTGGGCAGGTCCCATTGTGGCAAGTGCCCTGAAATTCTTTTCCACAGTAATTTACATGCCAATCTGACTGAGAGGGGCAGGAGAATGATTACTACAGTAAATTCCCATCAAATTTAGGATCAACAAATAGGAAAAAAAAGAATATATCTTTTTCAGTTTCTCCCCCATTCTCCAATCATACTGTATATTGCAGTGGAATCTATAATTTAGAAATTAGGATGTGTGTATCAGTTTGTTAATCGCTGTATTGTACATTATTTCCTTATTTTACTTCCTTGAAATACTTATGATTTTTTTCTGCTGTTTTCACCAAAGAAGCTGATTTCTTTTTCCTCCCTAATGAATGTTGTCTCAGAACATTTCATGTTAATGAAAATTAACATAGCGAGGCAAGTGGAAACAAAGCAAGTACCATGTTAAACTTCTACTCTGCAGCGTTCAGTATTGATTACCGTATGACATCCACATAATACCTTAGTCCTCACTTCAAATAGAGACATAGAAGACTTTAAGATGACCACTTATTCAGAATCCTGGTGATGACACCCTTCATTCAGGTATTTATAATTTATAACATGTAGGATCAGACAGTACTAAACAACCAAACCATGTCTACTGTCAGTCCAAAGGACTCCATATAGTCAACCCCACCAGATCTGAGGACAACAAAAAAGAAAAGAAAAGGCTGGGTTTTTTTGTCATACTTTACAGAAGCAGTCCAAAGGACAGCCTCCTCTGGCATTGCCCACTAAACAGTGGTCTGCTATTTATATAGCCCTCCATTCTGAAAACAGTTCCAACTGGAGCAAAGTTCGCTTTCACAGGGTGAAGCAAGTCTGTCTTGCAAGAGTCCCAAGAATCCTTGCTACTATTTCATAGCTAAAGGGCTGGGCAGGGTACAGATGCCAAATGCTTTTACAATTATTCCTTTAAAAAGTTGTTACATTTTCTTTTCTTTTCTTTTTTTAAAAAATTCATTGTAAATGCAATGTGAGAAATAAAAGTGTTCCTCTTTCATGTACTGTACACTCTAATAATAATAGCATGTAAAAGTCCTTATTTTTAAAATTATTTTGTATGGATCAAAGGAATGTTGTAACCTCTGTTACGTGCAGCTGTTTTGTAAATGGACTTTCAAACGTATTTACCGTATTTTCCAGCGTATAAGATGACTGGGCGTATAAGACGACCCCGAATTTTCCTGTTAAAATATAGGGTTTGGGCTATACTCATCGTATAAGACTACCCCTCTTCCAACGCACACCAAATAAAAATTAAAAAACATCAACTGGCTCACCCACAATGTAAAAGCAGCTGTGCTAGACCCAAAATGGCCCCTGCAACAAGCAGGAACCTCACACAGCTACAAAAAGCCCAAAAGAACAATTTTCACACTTTGTGGCCTCTGACCCGGCACCGATCTCACTTAGCTCCTTGGTTCACTGAGGTGCTGAGGGAGTTGAAGTGCCGGAAAAGACGCCTAGAGAGTAGTTGGAGAGCCAGTCTTTCTGAATCTGACTGGACACTGGTAAGATCTCATATTAGGAATTACCTAGTGGCGATAAAAGCAGCGAAATGTAGCTATTTTTCTGCTCTTATTGCATCATCAGATAATCGCCCGGCTGCCCTGTTTAGGGTGACCCGCTCCACCAGGAAGCGCGGGAGGACCCCTTGGAGGGTAGAGCTGAGGATTTTGTTCAATATCTGTATGACAAAATCACTCAGATTCAGGAAGATCTGGACTCCGACTGGGTAGTTTCAGGGGGAGGGACTGGGGCAGGTCTTGAGAATGTTATCTGGGATGAGTTTGATCCTGTGACCCCTGAGGACGTGGACAGGATTCTGGGTAGACTGAATGCGACCACTTGTTTATTGGACCTGTGTCCCTCCTGGTTAGTGCTGGCTTCTCGGGAGGTGACACGAGGCTGGTTCCAGGGGATTATAAATGCTTCATTGGGTGAGGGTGTCTTTCCCGCCGCCTTGAAAGAGGCGGTGGTGAGGCCTCTCCT